AGTGATGGATCCTGGTGAGTGTAGGGAGCAATTTTACCACCAACAGGTGCAGTGTTGGAGCCAGGGGGTGGCCAATGGTGGCCTCAGACAACATAGATTCATCTTTGGCCACCCCAGTCATTTAAAGAAACTGTACACTTAAGCAATATAAAATCTAGAAGGCTTGGTTTCCTTTGATGGGGGTGGTCACTTTACTTATAAATGACGGTGGCCATCTTGGATTTTGACCTGGCAACTATTTTTGATGGGGATTTTTTTAACACCTAGATGTAGCCACAAATGGGAACTTGGCACCACGTTCCCCTTTTCGCTCCATGATGGGGGACAACACAAAAATCCAGTTTGCATCCTTTACAATTCATCTACTTGCACGCCAAACTTTTAAATTCAATTCAGTTCATTTATATAGCATTTAATATTAAGCCTGTATTATTTAAAAACAATAAATCACTAGATGTTGTAGATCCCTTCAGCTACTATCACAACAAATTTTAGCTCATTGTCTCACTGACAGCGCTGATGCCTTTTTTTGTGTGTTTGATGAACTGGATCACCTCCAAAAGTTGAATCCAATAATTGAAAGTTTCATAAAATCCATTCTGCGATTTATGAAAAATTTCACTAATAAGACAGGGGAAAAAACAATGACATGGCTGTGGGTGATAATAACACCTCAAACATAACTGCAGAAAGAAACATAGGTTCAGTTGACAACATCTATCTCCAGATAACCTAATGGACCAGACTCAGCATGCACGATCTCAGCCTCCAGCTGGTTGTAGAGGTTTGACAGAGACTGTTATGGCTGGACTGGTATAATGGTAATATGATAGCCAACCATCAAAGCTAAATTGTGTAGTCCAAATTACTAACTGTATGGTCACTTTGTTTTAAAAACCAAAAAGGGGAAAATATCTGTAATGTCCTTTCTCAGCCCTAAATTTTAATGTTTGAATGTATAAACTAGAACATAAAGTTTATGTGACACACACACTGTGAGAACACAAGAAGAAGCACGTCGGGACAGTTTGGAAACACCCTCCTGCTGAACCTACATCCATCAAAATCAGCAGCTCGCCGTCTCAACTCATTGTTCTTCTGTTGGGTTTTTATGCTCCGCTGCACGTTTCAGTAGGAATGAATATGAAGAAGCGCATTTGAACACGACAGCATTTTTCTGGGAAAATGCCTCTGCTGCTTCCACGCTGTGCTGCGAGAACGTCCAATTGGAGTTCCCAGAAAAATGACAGAACAGTTTATTCAGGGAACTTCTAGAGTTGGTACAAGCCGAGCACAAGAAGGAACAAGCCTGAAAACCTCTGGCTTCATGTGATGCTCTTACAAGAAAGGCTTTTAATGTTTCCATTTTTTTAATTACGGCAATATACGTTTGGATTTATAGCTAATTAAGGCTGCACCAAAGAGCTAAAAATGTGCTAAAAATGGCAAACAGGGATGTAAATAAAAATAATATCACTAAACATGTAAAAAAAGAGAAGGTAATAAAAGTAAGGCAATGATCCTTCAATACAACACTAAATAAAAGTACTGTACAAATAAAGTTTTAGCGCTCCATTTGAGTCAGTAAAAGTGAGTTTTTAAGAGCGCAAGAGCTAAAAATAGCTAAATGCTATTTTAAAAGCTGACGTAGAAAATTGTTAGCTGAAAGCCAAAAGTTGAAAGTGGTTTAGCTAAAAGTAAAAAACAGATAAAAAAAATAAAGATAGCAAAAAGAAGCAACACATTTGCTTCAAGTTAAAGGTAAAAAAATAAAAAATAAAAAATAAAAGAGCAAACACTAACATAAAAACAAAATGCTAGAAAAAAAGCTAAAATTAGCAAAAGCTAAAAATAGCTGAACAAGTAAAAAGGTTAAATAAGCAGAGGTAGCATTAACAAAATGCTAGCTTGAAAAAAATCAAAGCTCTGGCTGAAAATAGCAAAAGATTAGCTAAAAGCAGCAAATTGTTAGTTAAAAGCTTAAAATAGAAAAAAACTATAAAAAAAAAAAAGTAACAATTACAATGCTGGCTAGTAACTTCTAGCCAAAAGCTAAAAGTAGTAAAATGTTAATACAAAGCTCAAAATGGAAAAAAACAAGCTAAAAATTAACTACGCTGGTTAACATTATCAAAATGCTAGCTAAAAGCTAAAAGTAGCAACAATGTTAGTTAAAAGGCAAAAGTATTAAAATGCTTACTAAAAGCCAATATAATAAAAAAATAGCTAAAAAAGTAAAAGGTAATAAAAAAGCTAGCAATAGAAGCAACATATTTGTTAAAAGTAAGAGATCATTAAAAACAAAATGATAGCTAAAAGCTAAATGTACAAAATTATTAGTTAAAAGCTAAATATTGCAAAACGAGCTAAAATTAAAATACTAGGCAACATTAACAAAATGCAAGCTAAAAGATGCAAACCTGCAGCTAAAAAAATCCTAACATTAGCTAAAACCAGCAGCTTTAGGTAAAAGCAGCAAACTGTTGGTTGAATTCTTGAAATAGAAAACAAACAGAAAAGCAACAACAACAAGACTAGCTAATATTAGCACACTGCTAGCTAAAAGAAGCAAAGGGCTAGTCAGAAGCTAAAAATTAAAAGGCTAGCTAAACTTTTTAGCTTGGTGAAAAAATGTCCAGAGGAGAACCAGAAGATAAAAATAGATCAAGTATGCTGAGGTTTTGAAAAAATTGCCTATTTTTGCGTTCAGTATATTTTTGTAGAGTAAAATTTATGTGAAAAAAGTTGAATTTTTTTAAAAGTACAATAGTTACAAAAATACCTTTACAAGTCATAGCACTGAGTTCTTGAATCGGCTGAACCATTTAATGTATGAACAGTTAAAATAGGGAAAAAATGTTCTTAAAGAAATAATTTCTGAAAGAATATGAAAACATGCTAGAGACGAAAGAGAAACAGGAAAACAACGCTGACTCAGCACTCCTGCAACAATAAAACAAGGAGCATGTGTTGTGTGCCGTCTTATCTCTGCTGCAGGAATCCTGATACCGAATATCTCAGAGCTGCGAACACGGACTTTTTATGAAAACATCGTTTCAAAACATCCGCTTTCTGTGGATTGTTTGTCTCCTACAAAGAAACAGCAAATTACAGACCAACGCCGCAAGAAAGAAGAAGAACAGGTGATTTGTCAGATTCCAGGGGAAAACAACACAACAGAGGTGAACAGCAGAGAGATGGGGAGAACGCACCTCCATCTCTAAGAGTTTCAGCTATGCTCAGAGGGATCAGGTCTAACCAGGACCTGCACAGCTGGGTCTGGGTCGGGTCAGGCCCTCAGCAACAAGAGCCTCTCGGTAAAAGTTTTAAAGAACAGATGTGGCACAACAAACTGCTTCTGACTGACGTGAATCTTTACGATGAGGAGCAGAGGGAGTCCTGATTTCATCATCGTGATGTCATCACAACTCAACGTGAGGCTCAGTAAACGCTCCACAGACCGTGGCCTGTAGTTTGGAGTGATTTCAATGGATGGGCTGGAGTAGTGGTTGTAAAAAAGGATTGAATGTAGGTTAGAGCGTTGAAAAGGAGAGGTCGTAGTTTGGTGTGCTTGAGGTCGTAGTTTGAGGTGTTCAAAACGACTGGTCGAAGTTTGAGTGTTCAAAACGACTGGTCGCAGTTTGACTGTTCAAAACGACTGGTCGTAGTTTGACTGTTCAAAACGACGGGTCGAAGTTTGAGTGTTCAAAACGACTGGTCGTAGTTTGAGGTGTTCAAAACGACTGGTCGCAGTTTGACTGTTCAAAACGACTGGTCGTAATTTGACTGTTCAAAATGGCTGGTCGTAGTTTGACTGTTCAAAATGGCTGGTCGTAGTTTGACTGTTCAAAACGACTGGTCGTAGTTTGACTGTTCAAAACGGCTGGTCGCAGTTTGACTGTTCAAAACGACTGGTCGCAGTTTGACTGTTCAAAAAGGCTGGTCGTAGTTTGACTGTTCAAAATGACTGGTCGTAGTTTGAGGAACGACTGGTCGTAGTTCGACTGTTCAAAAAGACTGGTCGTAGTTCGACTGTTCAAAACGACTGATCGAAGTTTGAGTGTTCAAAATGACTGGTCGCAGTTTGACTGGTCAAAACGACTGGCCCCAGTTTGACTGTTCAAAAAGGCTGGTCGTAGTTTGACTGTTCAAAATGACTGGTCGTAGTTTGAGGAACGACTGGTCGTAGTTTGAGTGTTCAAAACGACTGGTCGTAGAGTGTTCAAAAAGACTGGTCGTAGTTCGACTGTTCAAAACGACTGATCGAAGTTTGAGTGTTCAAAACGACTGGTCGTAGTTTG